ATTGAACGGGGAAGGACCGTTCTGCTAATGTTTTATTATTTACAATATATACAAATTAATGAGTTTGGACCGCAGAGACCAGACCACATCCTTCGGCGAGTATGTCCACCAAAGGGAGTTTACCTTGCCACCTCCCAGGTCTGGGTGGTGGTGAGATCTCATTGAACAGTGAGTTTGCACAGGCCTTCAGCCCATCAAAAAATTTGATGTGCCTCCGGCCTATGAACTCAGGTACCGAGGGGAGCTGGAGCTCCTCGCGTATTGTTTGATTCTTAGCCCTTTGTAGGGTGGTGCCACGGACAATTCGCCGAAGGATAGAGTTCTGGAAGCCCTGTAGACTCGTAAGCGTGGATTTATATAGGTATCGCAGGAGAGGGGCCCCGTGGAGCAGTGTTGGTCTTATAACAGCTTTATAAATTTGGAGCTTGAGTCTCAGCGAGAGCTGCGGCGACGTCAGTAGGTGGTAGAGCCGGTGCGACTTCTTTCGTGCCAGCTTGATCCTCTGCCTAACGTGATTGGAGAAGGTCAAATGTCTATCTAGCGTGACGCCGAGGTAGACAATCGAGGTAGAAATTTTATGATAAACTCCTCCAACGGTGAATTGTGTGGGTAGATGCTTCTTTCCCTTCTGAAACGACATGACAATAGCATCAGTCTTCGCAGGATTCACTCTGATACCGATCTCTTCTAGCTCTTCAACAATTGTGGCTGAAGCATTCTGTGCCAGAGTGAGTGCAGTCTCCGCGTTGATGCTGGAAGCATATATGCCAATGTCGTCCGCATAGGCTGCTACCACCGCCTTTGGATGCTTGAGTGCCACCACTGGCGCCGTGAAAACGACGAACAGTATTGGCCCCAACACAGACCCTTGAGGTACTCCGCAGGTGGTATCGACTGGGTTTGAGTAGTCTGTACCAACTCGTACGTCACTTATTTATCTTTACTTTCCCAACATTTTGAACTCATCGAAAATTAGCCAACATGCTTCAAATGTTGTGCATGATATAATGAATTGAATACATTTGAAAGGTTTAATTTCTTTGCAAAGAAGTAGTACTTATTATTATATATAAAACCATATTTTTAGGCAGAATTAAAGATAAGCAAAATAGTTCGAAACGTTGTCTAATTTTTGATTTCTAAAATTTGAAGAGTAAAATTGTTCTTCCTGAAATTGTGATACAACATTGAATAGATAATTATGTAATTTTTTTAAATGAGATCACCCTTTTGGAACTATATTAAATATGCTTATATAATATTGTATATCAATACGTTCATATTTTTGTCACAGCTTTAATTGCTTTTAACAATATCCCATATAATAAAGACTGGATATTACATAGACAGAATGCTTTCTATTTTTACTTTCATAAGAAAAGAAAATTTAAAAAAAAATGAAATAAATTAAAATAAGGAAACAAAAAAGAGAAGAGAAATCCTTTGAAAAAGACAATATGTCAGTGAAAGTCTCTGAAAATTGTGTGGTCTCTTTTAAAAGGGTAGAGAAGGGGAAGAGTATAAAAATGTCAGATGAAGTGGCAGTACTGGTAATCATCCACAGCGAATCCTTTCTCTCTTAAACAGAAAAGAATAGAAACGATTCCTTAATATTCTCCAAAGTTACTGCATTCCTATATCTACTACTGTAGCCCGATACGCAAGCGCTGAGTTTGTATCGATAAATTATTAAATAAATAAATAAATTTAAAATGTACCATTAAGTATTACTAGTTGGCCCGTGCGAATAATTCGCAAAAATTTTCTTTAGTAAAGGAATAGCAAAACAATATGGAAATAATTAGATTCTATGTATTGCGTGAGGAAGAAATTAATTGTTTTTCCTTGGTGGATTACAATATTCCATTCAACATAAAAAAACAAATAAAACATTTGTACAAATTGCCCAATGTTAAAGACCTAGGGCCTATTTTTAAACGCTGACTGGAAAGGTAATATTCAAAATAAAGCCTCGATCATGGGATTTTCTAAATCATTAAAAAATATAAAATGTACGAACAAAAAAATGCCTTAAATAAATAATAAAGTATATATCAACCGGGATAAAAAGAATAGCAAATGCAGTACTCTTTAAAGAGGAGGAAATTATTAAGTAACCAAATTTAATTTGGACGGTGTCATTGTAAATAATTGTCCGATTTTTACGATTACTTTTTGTTTTGTAGGTAATTTAATAATCTTTCTTAAACCATGGGTGCAACTTTCGTGTGGTTAGGTGGTAGCATGTTAAAGTTATCACACTTTTTGTGAGTTTCGAAAAAAAAAAATCAAAGAGGAAGGGAGACTTGGCTCCAATTTGTAGAAAAAACTTTTAATTTTTCGTTCCCTCCGAGGCGTCTGAAAACAAGATGGCCTCGAGATCTCCTTTTGTCAATACATTTTTAGAGTACTACCGGTGGGTACTTACTCAGTAAGTGGTTTCATGTTATTATATTCTTGTGTTCACATTCACTGAATGTTTTTTTATTTGTAATGCAGTTGTAAATATCATCAATAAAAATAAAATATAAAGATATATACATATATTTTTCGTTTGCTATGCAAATTCGTATATAAGGGTATTTCGAGCTGCGAAATACAAATCTCAACACTGTTTCTGCTTAAAAAACATATTTGAACACACTTAGCTCTTTCGGTATGTACAAATTGTTTAAAATTTACAAAGTTCTAATCGATTTCCATGATTTTTTTTTTTGTTTGGTTGTTTTGCAGTTAATTCAGAAATATTTCTAATAATCATGGGTACAGTACAGAAAAAAAATGCATACTTTTTGAACTATTCGCAAATAAAGCTTATTTTCATTCAGAGCTTTTTACCTGAAATTTCGGGGAGAGTGGAAGTATGACTATTTTTCGAAGAGGAAGATTATCTTCTAAATAAGTGGTCAATTTGATTTGATGAAGGATTGATGAAGTTATGGTGTACCCCCCCCCAAAAAAAAAAAACACCGCTTAGAAATAATATATCAGCTAGTAGTTGCAGTATGACAAGCTAGTTTTTATTCTTCAGTGCTGCAACGACCTTGCTTACTATTGCTTTGATATATTTACCGGACGCAGGCACCGCAATTCCGCCTTTTAAGTTCCCCAAGGGACCTATTTTAATTGCAGCCATATATTCTACGCATCGTTTTCAAAGTAATCAACAGACGGCTGACCATGAAATCACACGTGACTACATTAATAAAAATATTGAACCATCGACTGTCACTACTCAGACGAATGCTACACCATGAAAACGAACTATCACTTTCTTTCAGTACATCACTCATTGCCCCTTCTACGTAACCAACAAAACGCTGCAAAAAGAACTACAAATACAAGCGTGTGACTGATGTAATTAAGAAATATTCAAAGAAAATTGCTGACTTACTCGTTGGACATCCTAATCCATTTGTACAAACATTACTAAAGAGGCATTACCTCAGATACCAACAGGGAAACGTAAATGTCTATGGAGCAGGGATGTGCTACATTAGGAACATAGCGGTAATGTTACTGGAAAATTTATTCAAAAAAAGAATTCACGGCAGTCCCGGAAGAAAAGTTCGGCAATGAAGACATACCAAATACGCCAAAAGGCATTTGTAAATTTTTCAATCAATAAATTATTATTATATTATTATTTTAAAAGATCTTGAGGTGTTTTTCATAAAGTTTGTTTGGTCCGAATATATATATATATACTATTCTTAATGGAATGGATTAGCTTAGTGGATAAATTTAGTTATTATTATTTACTTATTTATCAGATTGAAGCTAGGATAATTATTTATTTATTTACAGTTTATGATGTCCATGTACAACAGCAAAGGTTAGAGGCACCGTGTTTCTGTCACATAATTACATAATTTAGATCATTTTATACAGCTTGCCATCCTTCAAAAATTGCAGCAAGTTCTTCTGGTTTTCCTGTTCCAAGGCTTGACGGTAGCTCCGGAGTCTTAGTGAAATTCTTGAAGGACATAGGCGCTGACAATTTTCCATGATGTGCTCGATGGTCAATGGTGTGTTGCAGCTGCTGCATCTAGGATAAGGCTTCCCTTCAAGGAGGTATCCATGCGTCAGCCTAGTATGTCCTATTCTGTGTCTATAAATTATGGTTTGCTCCCGACGGTTCCCTGTTATTTGAGGCAGTGGTTCTGTATCTTCGTAAAGGTATTTGAAACCTTGGACCAAAAGGAGCGCCATGCTTCTTTGCAATGATTCAGCACGGCGCATTGAAGTCGTACAGCACCGTGTAGAGGTTAGGTTCTGGAAATATGGTGCAAGCTTCCTTGCCACCTGCGTCAGCCAGTTCATTTCCAGGTATACCAACATGGCTAGGGACCCACAGAAATTTTATTAATTTGTTTGTTATCTGAAGTAGTTGTGTCATGGAAAATGCAATAGGGTTATTGGAGAGTTGAAAATTTTGTATTTCTTTGAGGGCCGAATATGAGTCACTACAAATTAGAATGTGAGTGTTTGTTAATTCATTAATGAATCTAGGATAAGAAAGACCTCCCGGAGTACATTCTGAAAAATCTGGTGATTAGGGATGTATGCTGGCCACTTAACCTTGTGTAGCCATTTGATCAAGAAATAGTCGTCCAAATCACGTAATGAATTCAATTACCATTATAGGTTCTAGTGATATAGATTTGTATTTATTAGTTTTGCATATCTTCACAGAAGACGTATTACGTTATATTAATGGCCGCCGACTGGTTTTAAACCTCAAAAGAATTATTTTAGAATATTTTTAATGCTATTAAATATTGTTGACATGCGCATTCGTGCTAGTTTGAAGTACAATTCGTTTTCTCTGTTAAATCATACTCTTGTCGATCGATAGAATCCGGTTTTTCTTATTTGTTTTTGATTAGTACCAAAAAGATATTTGTTACTTATAATTGGTTTAAAGGAGACATTGATAATTTTTCTACCCGTTCTTTTATTGGGATTAGGATCAATTAGGGAAAGTAGCGAACAACCAAATGAGAATTGTTGGGACGGTCGCCCCAGTTCGCGAATTAGTTTGGATTAGCCGGGGCAAAGCTTTCCTCCAGCGGGACCGTTATGCAAAACTGTACTTTGATGGTTTTGAAAATTACTCTATAAGCCGCTCTTAAGTTATGTAAAATATATTTTAATCCATTTTCCCAAATCCTTGATTTTAAAGGTTTTAATTGAACTATTTTATTCAGAGTTAAGTGTCCTAACTGAAAATATGAATTAGGATATCTAAACAAGAAAAAAATTCCTGAGTACTTGAACGACTTAAGTGTAACATGCCGTGTTGTTGATTCACAAGTGTGGATCAAAACGTTAGCATTAAAAAACTAAATGCATTAAAAATGCGTCACTATGTCCATCATCCAAAAAAAAAATCCTATGAAAGTATGTCCGTCAACGCTTTGTTCAGGTGATATTAGATAGATAAGATGGAATACTAACATGACCTTGTTTCCTAGACTGTACATAAAATATTGACTGTTTGAGGATGAATTAAAGGATCTGTTGGCATTTTAAAATAATATCCATTATTAGCTTCTATATTTTTTATTTAAAATACTGCTTTGCGTTTTGGGGACTCCTCCTTACCTTCAGAATCTGACTTGTGTGATCATGAACATTATTATATTAACACCATTTACAAAGTTTTTATTTACGACAACTTTAATACAGTGATACTAATGATAATTACGTTGTTCTAGATTACATTAAAGATGCATATCTTTAAGGTCACTTCATATAAAAAAATCATACACCATTTTATTCATAAAAGGCATACTTGATTGTATTGGCCATACTTAATTAATCTTCAGCCCTATTGCTATTTATCACCACTACCCTTTTACTATATATATTTATTATTTATCCCCTATATGTTGGTTATCATCTATTGATTTTTATTTTATTTATTATGTTAGCATAATGTGTATTAAAATTCTTCGTACCCGTTTTATCATTTATTTTGTCCTAAGTGGGTTGATTCAAGTTATCTTCTTTTTTTTTTTTATTTGTTGGAGCTCCCTATGAAATATTTTAGGTTTTTCAAAATCATATTTGTTATTGAATGGTGTGCCAGTGCCATGGTTGTTGCAATTTTGTCTGGATTAATTAATTCTAGTTTTTAATTTTTTAGAAGTCTGATTTGTAAACGTTAAGCAGTATTTTAAATAAAAATAATGGAAGCTAATAATGGATGTTATTTAAAAATGCCAATAGGCACTTGAATTTTTGAACATGTTATCGTACAAAATTTGAAGATTTATAAGGAATAATATTATTTGAAATTAACAGTTACGTAAAACGTAAACATTTGCTTTCATGCCACGTGCTGATGATGCTTTTCCCCTTTACGATATGATGAAAGAAGTGCGGTCATATTGCAATATTTTGATGTGCAGCAGACTCTGAATATGCCATTGGATGTCATGAAGTGATAAGGATGTTTGATTTGCTGTCCTCTGGATCAATTTTCTGTGCTGGTGATGGCTGAATTAGCGAAACATTAACGGGTTTTTATATTTGTGTTCTGCCTCTTGGTTAGTTTGTTACTGATTTATAGGCAATTTTTTTAATGATCCGTATTCCTTACTACCTCGGCTCTATTTCTACATTTCTACGATTTTTCAATAATGATTGCTCTAGTTCAGTTGAAGATATTCTACTACAACCTAGGATCTTGTGGTTCCAATTACCTTGCAATCTTGCACGTTATGAAAGAGATCTACGATAATATCTAAATGCTAATTACCCGTATCAATGGATGGACGTGCAGGAGCATTGGCTTGCTTCGTTCGCTCTCCAGATCTGAAACCAGTGGATTTTTTGTTGTGAATAAACAAAATGTATATGTAAATCTAGTCAATGACCTTGATTATTTTTGTAAAAGGATACTTGAAACTTGCGAAACAATAATACATGTCCATTCGACAAGTGATGTTTTGGAAGAGAGATGCCGAGCCTGCCATAATCACAAGGTTGACACTTCGAACAACATTAATATGAATGTTAATGTTTACGTTTCATTATTAAAATAATTGTAACACTTATTAATTTATTTATTTTAACCTAAATAATTCATATTAAACAAAATAATTAAACCTGAATATTTTCTAAACAAAATTAAGGTAACTTATGTTGCTTCTATAGTTATGAAATATTTAAAATTTAGGATCTGTCAGTCATCATCGCAGAAGTCTGTTTATATAATTCTGACTCCTTTTAGGTATTCTTTTGTGTTAACGTGCTCAACGAGTTGTGTTTGTTTCCAATCATTATTCTTGATACGCCTGTAGTTGTATAGTTTGTGTTGAATCAGTCTAACTTAACTTCGTGACCTCGTATCACCCACATTCGGTCCCAATTTTAAACGAAATCGAACATTAAATCTCTCCCTTAAGAAATACTGGAAGTTTTATTTCAACAGGTTATTATAATAAAAATTTGATTTAATTCGTAATTCTGTCTAGCCAGTTCCTCTCATTAATGGTTGATGTTTCTTTTGTTGTTCATGTAAATGTCGAATGTTATATATTTAATCAGATGCAATTGGTTCCGGGCTGGTCATTTGTATGATAATTTTATTTATAATAAAAATTCAACGTAGATAAAACAGTGAGATACACCTAGTATTATATACAAATATCATTGTTTTAAACATAAATGGTATTATGATAGAATTCGGAATTAGGAAGTGGCCGCTTCATTCAAGCCGCTTTCGAATCCGGCTAATGAATGACAAGTAATTTTTCATCAGCCGTAGATCGATCCAGGTGTCAGGAAATCATCCTGGGGCACAGCCTCATAAAGTTGATAATATTAATTAAAATAATTCAACATGGCTTGAGCTTGATCCAGGCCCGATCATCTCCCTGCACTATCTTTGGTCTTAAAACAGTACTTCCTTACAAAGTACTGAAACCAAGACTCTTCATGGGTTGCAGTTTGGTACAGGTTTAATTATGGAATTAACAAAATCTTGAAAAAGTAGGAACGTAACCAGCAAAAATTTTGAGATTTATTTTATTGAAGTTGTTTTATTAATTAATGTAATCAGAAAATGCCCCATCGCTAAGAATTTTCATAGATTAAAAAGTTGCAGGTGCAGATGAAATGAATTTTTTGACGACTGTTAATAATTTAATAACTGGGATGTACCAAGGACAATTTATGCTAACGTATACATTAATTATTTCATTTAGATTCATATTCTTTGTCTTATTTTTGTATTTGTATACTTTTACGGAAATTGAAATATTAAATTAGTTGAATTATATTTTGTGCTTAGCGAACGACATCATTTACTGGCCGATATCGGAATACCCATGAAGGCAGTTGGCGGGGAGTTGGGACTTGGGACCGATGTTGACAAGGTCCCGAGGCAGAGACCCTGCGATCAGCACTATTATCAGCTCTCGCTCCTCGAGGTGTACTTCCCAATCGGCCGGGTTGACCCAAGGGTACATCTCCAATTTCGGGTTCACAGTTCCATCAACAGAGCAAATCTCAAGAGGAGATGGGTAATCGAGAGGGGTTCAAACGCCCCAATATCCTTTGTTCTGTTTGATGGTCGACCATGTAAAATAAATATAATGAGCCAATTAGTCTTTAAGATTATTTGTGATTATATGAAACATAATCAAAGGATTTTTTTTAGGTTTGTACCAGTTGCAACTCCCAACTATAATTTGCTGTATATTAAGCTATAAGGGTTCAAATAATCAATACAGATAACTTTTATATCCCTCAGGAAAGATAGATTTTGATGAATGAGATATCAAACGGAAGGGAGTTTCATGGAAAAATGACGAATCCTAATTTCATTTCCAAATAAAACTCTATTACAATTACAATAAAAGTCATTGAAAAAATTAGGAGGTTTCAAAACATTTAGTTTCATAATTTCATAAAAAGAATATTTTGACGCTGACATGATGATTCCTATTTAGAACTACCTGGTCTTGAGTTTTAAAACCCTAAAATGTACAGTCTTCAAGATAACGCATGGACCAAACTTCATCCTTGCAAATCTTGATCCCACGGTCGCCACAAATTCAGAATCATATTAATTAATTATTGAATTAATGAAAAATTAAAATATCCACTAATTTTCTTTCGTTCACTAAGTGCAATTTAGTAAATTTAAAAACTAATGCAACGACATTCGCCATTTTATTTATCATATACGAGTATAGTCATATTAAGGGCCAGTTGTAAAATTTGAGTTCAAGTCAAGTTCAAGCTTTAAATTGATTTCAACTCCAATTGTACAACTGCCCCTTAGTGGACAATTCTCTGATTTCTCAAAGATAAAACTAATCAAAGTTTTTAAATTTTTGAGGTTATGAAATGTCACTTAATGACATTTTTCATTAAACCGACGATGTCATTTCGCGAAGTTTTTTTTCTTTTATTATACGCCATATCTTCGTCAATTCTACAGCAAATGAAATGTTTTTGTAGTATGATCATGTTGAAGGTTATCTTAGACACCTCCAGGTGAAAAAAATATAGTCACCTCTTCCTTAACATTTGAGATAAAAAAATAAGGAGAAAAGAAACATGTAAACTTTATATAACTTGCGTATAACTTTAAAATTATCCAATTTTAAAGGCTAATAAAATTCATAAAAATAGAAAAAAAACAATTGGAATCGGACTATTATTAAAAAATAATAAGCCTATAATTTGTGCTCATGTTTTGGTTTATTATTATCAATGAACTATTGTAATTAGATAAAAAAAAAAAAATTCCTGCACCTAACTTATTTCCATATTATTTTGTTGAATGAAGAAAACACCATGCGAATTATTCCCACGGTCCAACTGCTTAAATTAATTTCATAAATATTCTATCGGTTAATGTTTCACAATTTAATTGAATATTTAAAATTACTATTAATATAGAACGCGCGGGCTCATTACCGCGTATGGGGAGCGTCCCACGGGTGGCGGATGTGGGGATGGTCGGTGGAAATTCCTTGGAAGTTCCTCCCGGCTAAGTCCGATGGACTCGCTGACCAACAATGAGAGGGGCCCTCCAGACTTGCTGGAGGGAGGGGACCTCCAGACTTGCTGGAGGGAGGGGACCTCCAGACTTGCTGGAGGGTGTGACGTAGGATTGAACGCCCTACTCACATATCTTTAGTTCACCAAACACCACAAAAAGTCATGGATCTCCCTAAGGTAAAACGCTCATTATCCGGAAGTAAACTAGTCCCCCGTTCGGGTCTCCGGGTGGGGACTGCTTTAGGGGATTCATGGCGCAAGTTGAAATATAGGGATTTAAATATTGGTACGTGGAACGTAAGGAGTTTAAACACAGCAGGGGGGCTAAAATCGGTCGGGAATGAGGTAAATGGGTACAATTTGGACGTCGTGGCTCTGCAAGAGGTTCGCTGGCCAGGGGAGGGCTCGATGAGGGAAGGGAAGTACACTATTTGGTACGGAGGAAGCGGGAATCATTGTTTAGGTACCGGGTTTCTAATTAGGCGTAGATTACTATCCGCTTTGAGGGACGTACAATTCTTTAGTGATAGAATTTCGGTAGCTACATTTCAGGGACGTTGGTCTAAAATCGCATTAATAAACATACATTGTCCGACCGAAGACAGTGACGAAGAAGTCAAAAGTGAATTTTACGATAAACTCGAATGGGTTTATGATAAACTACCACGAAACTACATGAAAATAATTGTAGGTGACGCGAACGCAAAGGTAGGAAGGGAAGAAGTTTATATTCCGACGATTGGTAAAGAAAGTTTGCACGAATATAGTAATGATAATGGGATCCGTCTAATAAACTTTGCCATCTCGAAAAACCTGATAATTAAAAGTACGACGTTTAAACACAAGGATATTCATAAATATACTTGGACATCACCGGATTCGCAAACACGAAATCAAATCGATCATGTCTTGATACAACATAGCTGGCAAAGCAGTATAATTAATGTGCGGTCTTATCGCGGAGCAGAATGTGGGTCGGATCATGAATTAGTAATCGCGAAACTTCGACAAAAACTTAATATAAAAAAGAGAAAAGAAAACCGTTTCGATTTTGAGAATTATAATTTGGAAAAATTAAAAAACCCATCAATTAGAAACCAATTCGAGCTAGATGTTAAGAATAGGTTTGAAGCTTTAGAGCTTCCTGACGAGGACCACGAGGATATTGACAAGTTATGGATAGAGATCAGAGATAATATTAAAGCGGTCGGTAACTCGTGTCTAGGAAAAAAGGAAAATAAGAATAACAAACCGTGGTTTGATGAAGATTGCTTAAACATGTGCGAAAAAAGAAAAACCGCTAAATTAAAAGCTCTAAATAATCCTAGCGAAGACAATCTGGAATACTTCCGAATCTCAAAGAACGAAACGACAAAATTGCTCAAAAATAAAAAAAGGGAGTATCTTAAAAATAAAATAATTGAAATAGAAACTAATAGAATCGAAAATAACGTAAGAAACATGTACAAAGGTATAAACAGATCACGTAAATATGTAGGGCCCGTAACGTCTGGAATTAGGGATGATAATAACAATATTCTGACCGATCCGGTTGACATATTGAATAAGTTTAAGGACCACTTTGACAATGTTTTAAATACGGGAAATTATGATCTGTGTCCTCCTTCTGAGTACCAGAGTGCTGAACCGTTAATAGAAGGACCAAGTAAAGAGGAAGTTGAAGTAGCTATCGGAAAATTAAAATCATATAAAGCAGCGGGAATCGATAATATTCCTACTGAACTAATTAAGGCATGCGGGGAAGCTGGAGTTTCTAAAATACATCGGTTGGTTAAAAAGATCTGGGTGAACGAGAAATTACCTGAAGAATGGAAAGAATCTATTCTTATTCCGATTCACAAAAAGGGTCCGAGGACGGATTGTAATAACTATCGAGGAATTTCACTCCTTCCGGTATGTTATAAAATATTCACTTTAATCTTAACCAGTCGAATCACGGAATACGCCGAGGAAATTATCGGAGACTACCAGTGCGGATTTAGACGGAATCGTTCGACTATTGATCAAATATTTTCTTTACGGCAAATATTAGAGAAAAAATTGGAGTATAACGGTATTGTTCACCAGCTGTATATAGATTTTAAAAAGGCTTACGATTCTATTGACCGCCAGAAACTGTATAATATTCTAATCGAGCAGGGGATTCCAAAAAAACTAGTAAATCTAGTCAGGATGTGCTTGACGGAGACACTCAATAAAGTTAGAATCGGTAATAATTTGTCCGAAAAATTTGAGGTTCGTTCGGGCTTAAAACAGGGGGATTCTCTTTCGCCTGTCCTGTTCAATTTGGCATTAGAACATGCCATTAGGGAGGTAATGCGAACCGAGAAAGGGTTGGATCTGGGCGGGACAACATCCGTGCTGGGCTATGCTGATGATCTGGTACTGTTAAGCGAAGACGTTGAAACTATAAAACTAAATACGACAACGTTAATGAAAGCCGGTAAAGAACTAGGACTCGAAATAAATGTGGATAAAACGAAATATATGGTTAGCTGCAAAAATGGCGATACTACTGGTGATGTCGATATAGATGGTAATATGTTTGAACAGGTAGATAAATTTAGGTATCTAGGTTCTACGATAACTAGAAAAAACGAAATTGAAGAAGAGATTAAGGTTAGACTGAAGGCGGGGAATGCTTGTTATTTTTCTGTGACAAAACTACTTAGTTCGCGCCTCTTGTCCCGTAACTTAAAAATTAGAATCTATAAAACAATTATCTTGCCTACAGTTCTTTATGGATGCGAAACTTGGCCGCTTACATTAAGGGATGAGCAGCGTCTTAAGGTTTTTGAAAATAAAGTTTTGCGTAGAATATTCGGACCGAAGAAGGATGAGTTAACCGGAGAGTTCAGACGGTTACACAACGCCGAATTGCGTGAGCTGTATCCGGGTAATATAATTGAGGTAATTTCATCACGGCGAATCAAATGGGCTTGTAAAGCTGTTGGGCTTAGTAACGAGAGAATTCCTAAAAGGTTAATATTTGCTGTGCCGAATGGTAAGCGTCCGAGGGGTAGACCGAAGCGAAGGTGGGAAGATTGCATTAAAGCCGATCTGAAGGGACTGGGTTTGGACGGCGAACGGTGGAGGGAGGTGTGTAACAAGCGATTGGTGGTGTCGGCATCGAACCTTCGGGTTAGCTAAGCCTTATTATTATTATTATTATTATAGAACGGCATTTTTGATATATCTACTCTAAAACATTCGGTTGTTAATAAAGTTGATTTCTTTGAATAGGGGAACCTGGTCTAATATTTAGGTGCCTTTCACCCCCAGACTAAACTCAAAAATTTTCTGGAAATATCTAAATATACATACTTTATACTTAGGCATACATCTGCAAGGAGTTTTCTGTTTGTTGACTTTTAAAGATTCATCGGGCAAAATGTACATGCAAGTACTCTTAGCATCTCGTATACGGCACCCGACTCCTACACCAAGTTTCAGTGTTCATTGACATCGACTTTAATAAAAATCTAACGATGTGTTTAATTAGATATGCAAGTACATAATAAATAAAAACCTCTTATTAAAAAATATTGGAAGATCATAATGTTTTTTTTTTGTTTTTTTTGAAATCTATTTATTGAATAATAATACAATCAGCCACTGCTGGAGGGCTATAAGCATTAGGGCTAAAAGTTCTCATTCATACAATATATACAAATAATAAAGAAATAAATATAAATATAAGAAGTAAATAAATAATACTGATGAAGAAGGTAAATAAATAAAAAAGGAGAAAAAAAAAATAATAAAATAAAAACTTCTAAACACAATCATAACTATATACAATATATACATTTGCCCAAGAATCTCCGAGCCAGGCTTTTACCTCCACACGCGGAAGGCAAAGCAAGACTCCGGAAGATCCCAGTGCCACTTTTCCAGTCGCATCACTAGTATTAGAAGCCAGCGGAGACTGAAAGAGGGCAATACAGCCACAGACGCTCAGGACATGAGTGGAGAAGCTGGCCATTGCCAGGACTCCAAAGGCATATTTACAAAAGATCTCGAGGCCACTGCCGTTTCAACCTTCGAGGGGGATGGTATGGATGCTCGGAGCTGGATAGGGATTGCGCTAGAGGATTGGGATGATGAATGAGGTTCTGGTGAAAGTTGGAGAATCTGGATGGGATGATGTCATGGACATATGGGATGTTAAGGTCATGGTGTAGGGTCTTGTTCGTGACATAATATGGAGCATTGACTATTGTTCGAAGGACTTTGGACTGGAAGGATTGGCTGCGTTTGATATTCGATGATTTAGTTGTCCCCCACAGTTCAAGTCCGTAGGTCCAGATAGGTTTCAGTATGGTCTTGTAGATTAATAATTTGTTTTCTGTTGAGAGATGAGATCTTCTGTTTAGTAGTCTATATAGCTGACCAAATCGTCGGTTAAGCTCTTGTCTTTTAAGTCTCGTATGTGGGTTCCAAGTCAGTCTTTTGTCCAGAAGGAAGCCAAGGTATCGGACTGTGTCTGAGTAGGGAAGAGGAATTGAATTAAAAAGGATTGGCGGACAGGCATAATGTTGTAGAGACGGTTGACCGTGATATAATATGAGGAGTTGATCGGGGGGAGGGGAGTGCGGTAAAATAAATACTAAATTACAGAAATAGTATTATTTATTTTTTTGCCGACGTTTTGACCCACTTTGCAGGTCTTCATCAGGGCGTAGGATGTAGCATTGCGGGAGGCAGTTGAAACACTGGCCACTATTTATTAACTTGGCCCGATCAACTCCTTCTAATATTGGGATGTTTGTAAAACATCAGATGGAGAAAACCCCAAGAAAGAAAGGAATATTTTTTGTGATTAACGTGAGAAATTGCTATTCGAATCCAGCCTAAAACTTCGATATGCCAAGAAAAAAAATGAAAAAAACATATCCAAAGAAATTGTGTGAAATATGTCATTAAATATAAATTTGTATTGGGATTTTCTAGGAAGTGGAGGATTAGATTAATATATCATTTTGACTTTTATCTATAATGAAGGGCCGTTAAAAATAACGAAGAGATCATTTTAAAAAATAAATAAATTATTAATAATTTATTTTGTTTTAATTTAAAAACAAACTTTCTTGTTTTTTTAATGCGAAAATTCCCATACTACTTTCAAAAATATAAAATGGGCCTCGTTTAACCGATAATAAAAGATGACATTAGATTTCTTATTTTTTTTTCTTATTGTTTAATGAAATGTCTATTGCCGCTTTTAATATTTAAAAATATATATACATTACAAAAACACACACGTATAAAAATACATATATATACATATATATATATATATATATATATATATATATATATATATATATATATATATAAATTTAGAGACTTTCGAGTAAACTTAGAGAGAATTTTTTATCATGGAGTTGGTGAATATTTAGCTAGAAAGGTCAGAATTTCAATCAAGTTGACAAACATGGTTTTCTTTTTCAGTTTGATTAATTGATCCCAGAGGATATACACGGTTTCCCTATGAAGTATCGCCACTACTTCATATTAAAGTGTCAATGAATAAATTCCATCTGGTTGGTTATCAATTTTAATTTTTATAACTTTTTCAACGGTCAATCTTTGAGATAAAATATAGAAACAATAAGAACTTTTGACAATTTACCTTAAATGTTTGAAAATATTTAATTTTACTTTCTGCTTATGCATTGGGAGATTTGTAAGAAAAGGGGTGTTGAATTGTTTGTCCTAACAAATTTATCAAAGTGTTACCATCCTACATTCAATTATACAGTGACGACATTAAATCGGTCATGATACATGGATTATGACTTTTTTTTTATCCCTACCTTGAAACTGATTGTTCAGACTGACATGAGTCAGACTACCTCTGTAATCCAATATTTGTATATCTCGATATATAATCCGAATAAGTCATCTTGAAAATCACAAGTATATTTTTGGTGCATGTACATCTTTCATCAGGCTGGTGGGATTTCATTGTTGATAAGACTTATCGAGAGATCACATGTTGGTTCCGAACAACTGTTAGAGATATTGTATAAATATCGAAAACATATATCGATGTTTTTTAATCTTTGAAAAGTACTCGTATCTAAATATCGATAAATTTTGTGTTGATAGTTATGGAATAAATCTAGATTAATGTATTGATGCCATTGGTTTTTTTGTTCAGTGATTTTTAATAGCAATAATAATAATACAGTTCAACCTAGGAATTAGAAATGATTTAGAGTAGAAGTCATATCCAATAGATCATATATTGGGTTGGCACATAAGTTCCTTTGGTGTTTCGGGGTGAAATAAATGTACTATAGACATAAAATTTATTTTACTCTACAATACATTGAACATTATTTAATATGACTTTTTCTACTAACTGCATAATGCCATGTTCATAAAATGTCTGGAGTTTATTGTTAAAAAGCTGATCCTAGTGGTTTTTGATGTCCTCTTCCTTTTGGAATTTATTTCCATTCATGGAGTTCTGCAGAGACCGGAATAAATGTTAGTCAGTTGGAGCTAGGTATGGTGAATAAGGAGGGCGGGGCAAAAGATCCCATCCAAGGTTCAACAATTTATTGCGAGTGACCAATGAGGTGTGGGGCCTAGCGTTGTCTTTGTGGAACACAACACCCTTCCGATTTGCCAGCTCAGGGCTTTTATTTTTAATTAATTGATCCAATTTTGTTAATTGTATAGTGTGCAGTATAGAGTTGAATCAATTGTATATCCTGGTGCCAATAGCTCCTAGAAAATAACATCCTTGAAATCTCACCGTATGGAAAGCATTAACTTTTTTCTATGCAATTCGGGTTTTGACATTGAGCATCATTGATATCAAAATTTCCTGAATGAAATTTGGCAAACCAATTTTGACAGGTGCGTTCGGTTAAGGCATCATCCCCATAAACACTGCAAATTTTTCCATGAGCTGCAGCAATCTTACGTTTTTTAAAATGATATAACAAAATATGCCAATACTAAGCTACAACAGGTATAGTTGTTGACATATTACAAACAGGATAAACAATTTACCCTAGGAATTAATTCATTAGATAAGAAGTTTATAATAGTGACCAAAATAAACAGAAAAACCGAAAGGACTTCTTTGCCATTCCAATAGCACACAATAATTCGATAATAGCATGGTTTTTTGTAAGAATAATTTATGTGTATACCACCTGAATCATATATAAAAAAATCATATCACAAAAAAAAAAAAATCTGTAAATATTTCTCATGAGATTTACATCTCCAATAGCGTCCACGTGTCATATATTCCAAGGTAATTTTAGAATATATTTTAATTAAAATACTCTTCTTGTTTAATCCTCATACCTTTATATCAGCTCTCATATTTCAGTGGAAGCTCAACGGTTCAGGAATTTTCTCTTACATATTATCAATTTCCTAAAAATAACATCTTCCCTTGTAGAATTTTGAAATTTATTACCGCATAATAATCTGCAAACGATAAGTTTACTTAACCTTGAAAATAGTAGTTATATTATAAAACAAGTTCGTATGTATCTGAAAAAGAAGTTTCTATCTTATACATGAAAGAGTTAAAAGTATTCGGCGTTATTTCGATTAATAACTTAAGTAATAACAAAAGGCTTTGCGAACCCGAAGGTTCCATGCCGACACCAATTGCTTATTACACTCCTCCGTTCGCAGTCCAAACCCATTCTCTTCAGATCAGTTTTAACATAATCTTCCCACCATTGATTTATCCCTCGGACGTTTACCATTCGGTACAGCAAATATTAACTTTTTAAGGATGCTTTCGTTACTGCGCCCTACAATTATACTTTTTGATACGCTGCGATATAATCACCTCAATTATATTAACCGGATACAGTTCTCGCAATTCGGCGTTGTGTAGCCGTCTAAACTCTCCGGTTAACTCATCCTTCTTCGGTCCGGTTGTTTCGATTATTATTTTTATGTATTTGATCTTAATAAGTCTATTAGAAATCAGATATTTAATTTCTTTTATTATCATCAGATTTATTTGTTAATAAAGATTAAAAGCAGAGAAAGCACGATTTATTTATCTAATAAATAGTGATAAATACGTAATAAATATCTGTAAGGAGATGAGGTGTACAGTAAATATAGAAATATAGATACATATAAATAGTAGTATCTATATTTATGTATATATAACTACATAAGAAGAACCGCGATTTTCTGTTTTTTCTTAGAATATCTAATATAGTATAAAAGAGGTAATTTATTAAACTGCTATTTTTCAAGTACAGAAAATAATGTCTTTGTTGTTTTCAAATCCTGCCTGGGCTCTTTGTTAGAGGTTGGTGCATTAACCTCTTTCCTTAGCTATTCTCCCACTTAAATTAAAACTTTCGATCCATCTTCATTTATATTATATTCTTTTAGCAGTAATTCAGTCAATCTAGGATTATTTTGCCCTATAAATTAAGCCTTTCTTAGCTTTAAATAAATTTTACTGAATGGTCTTCTATTTTAGTCCTTTTATTGTACTTTCTTCAGAGATTGTTGGAATTACTCAAAGGTTAAATACTCCCTACCTCTTGTTACCCTAAAATATTCTTGGCGACCCTTTGGCCTCTTAAATAATCCTCTCCATTTCCCTCTATCCTGTGGACATTAATCCAGTTATGGACACCCTAGTTCCTTTAATCCTTCATACTCAACTGTTTAGCTGATTTTTATTTTTCAATTTTTTTTTCCTTGTATCACTGGAATTCATCTCAACCATTCACCTTCGTAGCTTGTCTCCTGATCTGCCAATCTAAATTTATTTGCCTCTATAAATGACTAATTATGGTATCACTTTCTAGCTAACTTGCTCGTTATTCTCGACTAACAATATACTCGTAGTGGACCGTAAATGCTTCGAAAACAATTTATTTTCTTTAGAATATTTTTAACTTACGAAAATCCTCGTTCGGCAAACACTAAGCTTTGACCCCATCCACACATGACTATTGTTGTTCTTGTTAAGGATTTATAAAAGTTGAATCACATCGTATTTTAAACAGCAACAGCAACTTAAGGATTTAAGGTTGACGATGCAGGCTTTGTTTAAAGCCTTAATTATCAATCTCGTGCCTAGTAATATTTCTATTATTTAACAAAGAATCTCTGTATCTATTAGGGTAGGCAAAGTTTTGTTGTATAAGTTAAAAATATTTATACTATCTAATGATTAACTAACTTTAATTGATGTTGGCGTTGTTTAGTTCCCTTCAATGAATATGATACCATTGATATTGATAGAATAATTTATATATATATATACATGAACTTTCGGGATATATTTATGCTTTATGATTAGAACGTATGTTAATATAACGTTTTGATCGTATCGTTATTGACAATATAACATATAACATAAATTGACAATTATATATATATATATATCACATCTGAATATATCATCTTTGGTTTTTTCTTCTTGTTAAAAATTTTAAATCTGTTTTCTTTATCCTCTTCGATTTTATCTAACATTAAAAGGAATAAACTTCCAAATAATATTAACATTGGAGACTTTTTTTAGAGAATAAAAATTAGAGCGATATGAAACTAACATTTACGTTATAACTATTTGGTTTCTTCTTTTTATATACTTTGTTTTGTGTAAGCTTTTTAATAACAATGAATATAATTATAAATTTGTTGATAATCATAAATTATCAAGGAGCAAATTGAATTTCTATCATCTTGTCCATTACCTGTTGTTCCATTCCTTCCTTTTTCGTTCCTGATTCATGACTAGTTATATTTTATTTCTTCGAGATGATTCAAGTCTAAAATGCATTACAGATTACAACTTTTAATACATTTTTGTAGTGCACCTATAAACAATGTTTCGGAAGGATGACCATGAGAAGCATTTAATAAATAAAATTTACTATATCTACGCATTCTTGTTGATAGCAGTAGATGTTACAATATATATTTACATTAATTAAATATATAGTATATTA